ACCTGGCCGCCGGCTGGGAAATGTCCTCCTGGGGCTCGGCAGGGGGGGGATCTCGTGAAATCCCTGCTCTGAACAAGCGGATGAGTAAGGACTTGTCGAGCCGGGGAATCTGGGGGAGAAGCCGCAGCGCCTCGTCAGACAAGCGGGGACATTCTTCTTCCCAACGGATGGAGGATGGCTCCCAGCTCGTGCCGAAGGACACCAGGGTGTTACGTCCACAGAAGAGCAAGGCAGCCGTGGTGATTTCCTCCCAAGCCTGGTTTCCCAGCAGAGCGGGGCCATGGTGACAGCGGGTGAAGCTTCTCTGCCTGCGTCCAGGTGACTGCAGCGAGGAGGCTCAGGAGCAGCCATGAGATGGGACCATCCCCACAACTGTTCCTGCCCCAGGCTTTGCTGAGTCTGGTCTCATGTCCTGCAGCAGGTCTAACCCCCTTTGCAGGTCTTCTTGGAGAGCGCAAAGCCCAAGTTCACCGCTGCGTCTACCGGCACCACACCAGACTGGCAAACCCAGCCCATGAGAAGGTCCCTTCCCGGTAAGCAGAGACCACCTCGACATTTTGCTCCAGCTTTAGGAGGCTCAGGTGGGGCTCCCACCGAGGAGGCAAGTGCATCCTACCTGCTTTCCTAAGGAAGTGACTAAGCTGTGCCTTAATGAACCTGCCTTACAGCCAGGCTTACACCATGCTCTACCCCACAGCCCTCACCCCTGCCCAGAGCCTAATCCGCAAAGGTGTCCCTGCTCCGAGCACGGCTGTGCAGCAGGATCAGAGCCACCCGATAAATAGGAATGACTGAAAAGGCACCGTCGGGGCGTTAGGAGCGGCTCACTTTGCCTGCTTACAGGTGAGCGCCGCAATAGACTTTACCATGGGCCCTCACCTTCAAATGGCCACGGCAAGGCCTGCCATGATATAAAACACAAACGAGGGACAGGGCGCTACAGCAAATTAACCTTGCTTATGTACATACGTGTAAATAAGCCCTGGCGTAGCAACAGCACAGCGAGGAAATAAACCGAGGATGGGCTCGGTTCTATAAATATACCTGTGAGCAAGAGGTGTTACAGCAGAAACTCCTGGTACATCAGCAAATGTGTAACTCATTTGTCATCTGGTGAACACAACTCTTGCTCAGCTACGCGTGCACACGCAGGTAATCAGTGCGTAATTAAGGAGTTTTAAATATCTAGGGCATGTCTTGGCTGTAGAGAGGTGAATTCATTCAAGTGACTGATTCAAATCGAATAGGAAACCTTAAGTAACTTGATTTTGTAGGTGGAATTTGTTTTTTTCCCCTCCAAAACAATCCTCACTGATTGTAGGTTGGGGTATTTTTGCTGACCAGGATATGTGGTAAATGAGCACATTCAGGATTTGTGTCTCTTGGGTTTTAGGGATTTTTCTTTTCCTCCCAGAAAATAGCAAATGGCAGGTCCTCGTCAGGCTTTTTCCCTCCCCTCTCAGTTTGTACCAAGGCAAGCAAAAGGTGAAGACAAGCAGGAAGGCGGCTCCCACGCAGGGGAGAACTCCCCACGCTGCTCTGTGCTTCCTCAAACCAGCCCCGCGCATCTCCCGGTTCTACCGAGGCCTGGGAACCCCGCCTAGCGAGGCTTTCGTTAGCGTGAAGGACACAGCTTTGGTCAATCATTCTTCTGAGCGAACAGCACTGATACACAACAGGAAAAAAGCTCCCCTAGGAAGAGCCATGATGCTCCCGCTCCCATAACACCCTTCCAGCACTGACCAGAGGGCAGCTGAAGAGGGGGCGGGGGGGAATAAAATACCACTTTTAAATGGCAAACACACACAAACCAGTACTACTGGGGAAGGGCCCCAGGTGCGGGCAAGCAGCAGAATTTTGCTGTGTTGAATAAAAAAACTACACTGAAAAAATACAAGGCTGGGTTTTCCCCGTGTCCAGTACTCACGGTCAGACTCTAAGCTGGCTTCATATCACAACACGAGGGAGAAACCCACACGGTGCTAAAGCTGTTGAGTGCAAGAGGTTTGTAAGTACCATCAGTGCAGTACATCTGAAAAATAGGTTTTATTTTTAACCAGTGGTATCGTGACATCTTATCTGGCATAACCAATTACAGCAAAATTCATGGATAGAAACAAAATAGCAGATCTCTTTTTTTTTTTTCTCTTTTTTCTTTTTTTTTTTTTTGAAGTGCGTCCTCCTGTTCAGCCTGCAGGCAGCTGAGCAGCATTGCACTGAAGGTAGGGAGTGCATGCCACAGGGGCTCCCGCCGGAGCACGGACTCCGAAAGAAACATTCCCACTCGCACAGACACACACACACACACCACACACGCACACACATACAACACATCTATATTTTTAAAAATCTTGAGCAGTATTTCCGCATGGAATCACACTGTAGCATCTACACATAAAATGGCTGATAAAAATAATCTTGCTGTAGGTTTACATAGTATATCTACATTTTCATTTGAATACCTGGACTGCTGGTCCAGCAGAAAAGGGAGGTTTTCTGTCTTGATTTTGTTGGGCTGAGGAGAGTTTTAGCCCAGAGCATGAAATAACTGCTCTCTTCCTCTCACCCCAGACTTTTATTAAGTGTTTGACCCGAAGAGATCACTGGAAAGTAGCCTAGGAAGAATCAATGGCTTTGTCATCCGCGTCCCATCCCTTTGTGCTGCCTCGTTCAGACATGGGGTAAAACCACTACGAACAGTTCCTCTCCGTCCCATCAGTAACAAGAACACAGAATACTGCAAACGCCTTTCTCCTCACATACGTCGTCCACGCAGGACGCCCGCAACAAACGCGCGCCTAAAAACGTCTCCTCCACCAGCCCTAAAACCGGGCTCCCGAGCTCCCCAGGTACGGCTCCAGCACACAAACGTGCCCACAAGCAAATACAAAATATCTGAACCATGTTTGTATTCAAACATACTCCCCTTTCGTGTTTCCTCAGGCAGAGATCAACCTGCTAAAAAACAGCCAAGAAGCTCTTATCTGAGAGGGTAAAAAAAAACCTCTAGTAAATGTTAGTTTTATATATATAAATATTTATATTTATAGATATAGACAGTGAAAGGGAGATGGTGGTTTTATGCACGCTTACTTCTTTGCTTTGGATTCCAATACTTCTAAAAAAATTCTTTTCAGGAAATAACTTAAGTTCTGGCACAAGATGCCATAGTTGTTTCTTTGAAGAACATTTTTTACATTTGATCTCACAAGAAACCCTCCGTCCCAAGCTCTCCTTCTCCGAAACCAGAAGGTCAGAACACAAAGAAAAAGGTGCATGTTTCTGTGCCGAGTGTTTTAGCCTTTCCTCATCAAAGCCTCCAGAACGGCAGGGATTTCACAACGAGCTGCAGCGTAAGAGGAAGGATGCTGTGACTTCATGGCACTGGCTGAGGTACTCAGTGAAACAGTTCACTGATGATTTAACTGCCCCAGTGCCACCCCCGAAAGAGTAACGACAAAAATCAAGCAGCTCTACGTGCACATACAGCTACGACATGCAAAAACACCCCACCTTTTGAGGAACAAAATACAGAAACGCGTGGCTAGCAAGGATCCTCTCCCGCCTCTGTCTCCTGCGAGCTAATGCTGGGAAACCTCAGAACAAGAGGAGAGGAAGAGGGAAAAATACAGGAATACTCAATCCAGGCGTAGAGGCCGTTGCCTTGGAAAGTTGTTGCTTGATTACATCAAGTTCGTGCCTGGCTATCTGGGAGCCTTCACCCTGAAAAACTGTGGGTCAGAGATTCCCACTCCAGACTTCCTTTCCTCTTTCTCCCCATTCCATTTAAGGCACAAACTTATTTACAGTTTCAGACAAAACCTTTTCATGTTCCAAGAATCAGACAGTAGAAGGCCTCTACGTTCTGCTGCACCAGGAAGATCTGGACGTAAATCAAACATCCCTCAACCCCACCTTCAGTCCTGAAGAAAACAGAGGACTCTCTAAGCCTGTAGACCAGCTTCCATTATTTTGAGGTTACTTAACTGTAGAAGAATTGATAAATGGCAACGATTGTAACCAAACTTTAAATGTCAGCTTCCCCACCTTGCCCCAGCAGGGCAAACTGGCTGAGCACTGTTACTCTGGAAGGACTAAAGAGCAGTCAGGACAGGTCTCGAGGCTCGCCCCAGGCTGTACACAGAATACAAGAGAGCATGCAGCATGTTTACATAGACTCAACTTTCTTCCCTCCCCCCCACCCTCCCCAATTCCACACACACAAACCCCCTCCACCAAGGAGAATATTGTTGTGACGAGGCACTTGAGCAATGATTGGAGAGTCCCTATGAAAAGGCCTTCCCCTCACAGTGAAGTGGGACAAACAGAAGAGATCAGTTTCTCAGGACTCCATCTCCTCTTGGTCAAGCGGTGGTGGCACAAAGCTGATTACTTCATCATAAGTCAGGCCTGGTGGGAGAAGCGTGACAGGAACTTAATAGGCCATACTAAAGACATCCCTCATGCAAGAAAACCTGCAACAATCTTAAAGGTTCTAACGGTGTTTTAAATAAAAACCATGGTTTGATTAAGAAGCAAAAGAAAAGAACAGTTACGCCATTCTCAGGGACTAGCATACACAATAAAAGATACTTCCAGCATGCTGAGGAGATGTGAGTAGGTTTGAAAACAAAGACATGAGTAACTACATCACCTACGTGTTTGTATGCTCATGGTAATAATTAGTTACCAGGGATTATGCTACTTATGTGCACCACGCGCGATAGCTTCGCTTGGCGTTAAGGACCTCAGAACAAACAGAATGCCCATGTTTTTATCAGTTTTATCTGTGCCTCTGACCACCACGGCTTAGTTGCACCACAGCTATGGAACGGACCCCAAGGGAAGCGGGTTGACTCTCTCTCTCCCGTCCCCCAAACTCACTTTTCCATTCTTCAATCTCAAGTTCTCTACTTTCAAAAGACTGGTCGTAGGGGTCTGCCACTGGTTCATCGTCCGGGTCGTGATACTGAGCAAAGTAGGCATGAGCCAATGCTTCTGCTGCAGTGATTCGTTTGTCTGTATCCAGTACCAACATCTTCTCTAGCAAGTCCACAGCTGCAAAAGCACCAGAACAGAAAAGGCTTTTACATAGCGAGCTGTGTGACGCCATATCCTGAAGTGCAAGCTCATAAAAGCCCGATGTATATGAGGAATCCGTAGTTTCTCAGGGCCCACCCATCACCCACAATTTCTTCCTCTCATAACCTCAGCCCACACACACTTTGTAAACTTTGAGAATGGTACATGGCTCTATTCTGAACTACTCCTGCAGTCAAAACAAAACCTTGGGCAAAGTCTTGGTGTCCCAGGACCTGCTAGCTTCAGCTTCAGGAGGAGCGCGACATTAAAAAGCAAGCCTTACCTAGTGGATTGGCACCAATAAACACATTTTCAAAGTTCATTTTCGGCATGTAAGACAAAGACTGAATGTAGTTTCTCGCCTGTGGAAATAAATACTCTGTTGAAGTTTAATACAATCCAGCTGCCAAGACAAGAGTACATTTCATTCATCCTGAAGCACCAGTTATTATGGTCTGTCTCCTCACTTTGCCTTCTCTTTACTTATTCTGATACTTACTAAGCCCACGAGCGTTATCCCTTCCCAAGTAAAGGCCACTCAAGACAGCGGAGGAAGAGCTGACGTTATTTGGGGTTCATGCAAGACTGAAAAGCAAAGAGGTGCTGCAAGAGCTGACTGTCTTGGAGTCTCGGCAAGGCTGCGTGCAGTACAGTGCCTGGGGGTAAGCCGCACAACATGGCACACAACACAAAACCGACTCCCATCCAGGCTCTCCTGAGCCTCAGACGTCTGTGGTTGAGTACGCACTGTCCAAATCTCAAGTCTCCATTTAGTAAGAAAATCTTGCTGGAGAGCAGGTAGTTAGTCACCCACCCCATGCCACATGCGAGCACATCATCTATAGAAGCAGCAAACACTGCAAGTGAAGACCTGCCCTGCAAACCCCCCTCATCTGCTCAGGTCTCACCTCGTGGCTGGGCATCCTGTTAATGAGATATGCAGGGGGTGTTCCCGTCAGACGCATGATCTGCTGAAGCTGGTTAATATCTTAAGTGCCTAGTCAAGGGCTTTGTTAAAAACAGTGCAAAAACCATTTTAAACAGAAAACAGCTGCATACAAAGCATCTCTTCTGCAAACCACAAGGCAAAAGCCAAACAGGCAGGGTCGACTAATTTTTTCAAATACTTGTGAAAAGTTTAGCAATTGCACTAGTGAACACTTCAAACAATGCAGAATTACTGATCGGTTGGTAACAGCGTCAGTACAGAAAGTATTTCTGCCCGCCATAAGTAGCATTACACTACAACACGGCTGCATTCGCGTTTCCCAACAGCTTTAAGCCACCAGAGGAGACGTTTCCTTTGGCTGAAGCTACTCTTCAAAAATTTTCCTAGGCTGCTGCAGCTAGAAACAGCCTGAGGAAAATGAACGAGAATTAAAACAGAAGCAAAAATTGTGTCCTCTGCACTGGTTACCAGCTTTTTTTCTTGCTGCATAGAAAGTACTTAAGTTCCTTGTGGTGCAAAGTGAAATCGGCTCACAATTGGCACCTCCTTCTAAACAGCTTTGAATGCGCTTTGGTATGTGGGCGAGGTGACAGAAGGCAATAAATGCAAAATTAGCAAAACATTAGCATTGCATAAGACAAACTTAGCTGATGTCAGTGAACAGACAGAGAAAGTAAGAGCAAGTCAAGTAATGCAGCAGAAAAACAAATACAGAATTCATTACAGTGACACAATAAAGGCCCTCAAACACTTATTAGTTTTGCGATCTCCATACAACTGAAAAAAATTAGTAGAAACGGTACCTTACTGCAATTTTTTTTTTAAACAGACTCTTGATTTGGACCTGGCTAAGAGCAATTATTCTTTTTATCGTGCAATGTTAAGAAAAAAGACCCACTTCAATCTTATGTATGCCAAGTAATCTTTTGCTTAACCTAGTCAACCTTTAAGCTTCTCTCTCACTAATCCCCTGCACTTCAAATACCAGCCTAGCCTTAGTGTCAGCTCACAGGGTGCCCAAAGCCGCCTGCGTTAGGCGGTTCTGACCTTCCCAGGGGCAAAACATCCCAGGGCTTTTTAAATAGGTGTGATGTTCAGCAAGTTGACCAATTGGTTCCAAATTGCACCACACTCTATCATCATCAAACACAATTCGAGGCCAACCCCACATCTCCCGTCACTGTTACATGAAAAAGAACATAAGCTGCAGGACAAAATCTCATCATCACCGCGCTGATCCTCTGTTACGTATCAGAAACAGCAGAGTGACTTGCTGAAGTACGCTGCTCGTTACCTCTACGCAAGTTCATCGCTCACGGTGCATTAACTTGTTAACCTGTACTGTTACAGCATCTCTTCCTCTAACTTTTATGCACTTCACCTTCAGAAACAGTAAGATTCAATGCCATTTAATAGTGTCTTTGCAGAAGTTCACCCTTCAAGATTGGAACGATACAGAAATGGCAGTATGGCTGAAAATAGAGGTCACCCTTTAAAAAGGAGACTGCAGAAAGCTTTTTGCTATTACCTTGATAGAGGGCCCCATACAGCAATACCGTTTAATTACACGGCACGATTAGTTATATTCTCAGCAGCCTATATACTGTGTGCCCTGGAAACAGCTGCCACGTGAAAGCACCTAAAAGGCATTTTGGATTTTATGCTACAAAAGCAGAGATGGTGGCAGCAGCAGATATTAATCATACTGCAGAAGGGACTGTGTGTGTTTAGAGGGTAATGCACTTGCTCCGGTTTGGAAAGATCCTTGGGTAGGCAATCTGGAGAAATAATAATAATAGAGACGAGCCTCAGGCTCTTAGCTGTGAAAAATACTTCCCCAGCAGCATCTGATCGTACAATATATCACGAAGTATAAACCCACAAACTGAAAGAAAAGTCACGAAGCAGTAAAATGAGAATATGGAAGGAAGAAATCATACCACAGGCAGAGGTAAGAGGAATGAAGATCAGATACACACAGCATAAGAACTCAAAGCCATCCAAGAGCAAAGAATGACAAAGGAAGAAAAAGAACAGAAAATAAATCCCCACACATACTATAGATAGACTACAGGAGGGCAGCACACAAACTCGGGACTTCCGAAAGGGCAGATATTACAATCAAAGTGTAAACTCACAGACTCTGAGGAGATTTTCTTCAAAAGCTCAGGCCCTGGGGTTCCAACGAGTCTCAAAATGAGCTTCAACTGATCAATATCTAATGATGGACCATAAAGGAAAATGCTGGGACAAATCAAAATGAAAAGCGCAACATATCAGCCTATTAATGTTGAAAGTTAACGCCTGCCAAGGCCTCGACTGAAAGGCTATTTTAAGCAAACTGTGTTCATTCCTCTCGTTTAAGATTGAATACCCCCATGTAGCACAGCTCTGTCTGCATCAGACAGATCCAACGACTTCTCTACAAATAGACCACATGCATCCAACCGGTCACTGCATCCTTAACTATTGTGAAGCAGAAGTCAAAGATTTTGCCCCACTGGCAAAAGATCAGTTTACATGCTCACTTCACCCTTTCAGGCCCCACACCGAAGTAGCAGCAGTTAGCAGGATTAGGTTGTGTTAGTGACAGATAAAGTAAAGCAGAAGGCTGAAAAGTGTAGGCACTAATATTAAAACAAAATAAAGTCAAGGCCTTTTGTGAACAACTTCCAAGGCAGTTCCGCCACTTGGAAAGTAAGAAAATGACTGGACCCTGCTCGCAACCTACAGCATCCCTGACCCTGAACATGGGGTGCACCTTTCTTTGGCCCAGAGCAGCTGGGGTGCTGCAGCCAGCAAAGGGGACTGGCCCTCACCAGCTCCCTGGAGACCAGCAGAGCAGGAGGCCAAAGCACTTGGATCTCCCTTCTGCCCTACACACCCGCTGGAGCAGCAGAGAGAACAGAATACGGGCCCAGATTTAAAATCTCTATGTAGAAAGCTCTCAGGATGTAACATTGCAGATGCAAAGAGTGCTTTATCCAGAGCAGAGCTTCCACCAGGCCACGTACCAATGCGAGCTGCCCTCTTTAACAGGGCAGAAAAATGAAATATTTGGCATAGATGACAAAACATACACTTGAGGGAAAAAATCCACTAAATACACAGTTGTATATCTAAAACTCAAGACAGTAAGGAGATATGAGGCATCTTTTTAAAACCATTAAAAAAAAATATATCCTTTCTTCTCTGAATTATCCTCCATGCTGCTCTTCAAAACCTACTAGGATTTCAGACCGTGTCTGTAATGTTTATATTTGCCCTTAAAATTGTATCAAAGTAGTTACACATTTTCCTTTCAATAAGAGCAGTCTACTTACTGGACAGTGTTTTTTGGAGATATGAGGCATCTTTTTAGATATAGTTGTTAGAACACCTTTTAATTCCAATACTATAAGCACTTCAAATATTGTCTCTTTTTTTAAAAAAGAAGAAAAAACCCTCAGAGTTCCTGTAATACTGACAAGCTGTATATACAGGAAATTGCCAATACTTCACTAAAACCTTTATCTTCTGATGTAAAGTTTGGTCTAAAGCTTTACATACAAAATGAGATAAAAGCCCTGGAAAGAGTACTTTGTCAGAACAGCTGAACTAATTTCTCACTTCAAGTTGCTTGGCCAACGCCCACCTACTTAAACACTCAAAACCTAAGAGTAAATCCAATGTGCCTAGTTGGATTTAGCTTAGCTGCTGAATTGCCAACTCTTAATTGTCAATGCTTAAAATGAAATCAGTCTATCTACTGGTGTAAGAGTAACCACAATTAGCTCACTTAAATTGGCTTTTCTTCAGTGCCATTTAAAACAGCCCTTACACCTTTCACTCATTCTTGTGCAAGGAACAGTTGTGCAAATTTTGGACTGCCAGCATGCCTCAGAAGTCACATGCCATACCTAAGTTTAAATACTTAAATTCTTTTAAAGGTATTTAAAAATCACATACACTAGGTGGGCCAGCAACACTGCTGCCCAGTTTGCTGTCAGCTTGTTCCCCAGAGGACAGCATGCTATGGGGAGATGCTTGTGCACTATGCTTCAGCGCCTTCTCAGATAAACAAGAGAAAACACAGAATGCGTAACTGGCACATGCCAGAACCCAACCCTGCTTCTAGTTTTAGGCCTGCCATCTATAACCTGCAGCATTATTTAACTACAGGGCCTACCACGTCCCAGAGAAATGAGCCATAAGCAATTAAAGACAGGAAAAACACTCAGTAAATACAAAGCAAAAGGAAAAAAAAAACCAAAACACATGTGCATGGAGAAGGAAAGCGCAGCATGCAAACCCCAAACGCCATCACCAAGGTACCCCCAAGGAGTGACGAGTCTCAGTGATTCTAAAATTCCAAAAACAACCTGCCATCACCACCAGTAGCAGGCACCACAAGATTGTAAGAGCTTACCCAGGCAAAGCAAAGTTCAGAAGTTGTTTTAGCTGCCACCACAAGCCAAGAATAAGATGTAGCAGAATATGTAATTTCAGACTGGTTAGTTATCACGGAAGTCTCATACTACTAAATAAAAACAGTAGTAAAACACTCTTCAGAGTTTAAAGGGAATACAGTCAACTTAAAACATACAGAAAAATTAAATTGGTTAAACTGGTACAAAACATTCAAGATATTTTTATTTGTACTTTATATCATTTTATGCAAGTCAAATTGTCAAACTTGAAGTCAACTTTCCTACTTATTTGTATGAATCACGCACATTAGAAGAGCTGTAAAAAAAAAAAAAAGAATATATATTTAACAGAAACTGATCTTGGCATAAGACAGACACAATAACAAAAAGAAAGCCTCTAGGTAAGCCTCACATTAAAAGCCCAAAGGACTCTGATTTTCATTATCTCCATTTTTTTGTCTCTGGCTAGTCTTCCCTGCAATCACGCTTCCCTTCACCTCCTGGCAGCGCTTTTACCAATACTAGGAATCCATCTTTCATCCAAATATTTCCACCCATAGATTACAATAGGAACAATTCAATTACCTTACATTCAGTTTTAAGTTACGAATATTGTAGCAATCCTGCAGACCTAAACCCATATTAATCACAGGGTTTTCTTCTAAGAGTATCTATCTACAACTCTTGCTTTAAGTCAATGACAGCCATGTTCAGAATCTCAACAGATTAGGTCCTTCAGAACTTAAAATTAAATTCAGCGTTAGTTTCTCAGTGGCATAATCATCATAGATGGTATGGAAGATCAATCATCTCAGAATATAACTTTATTACTTACCAGATTAAATTAAACAGCTTGCCTGTACTGAAGCCCCTTACAAGTAACGTATTTCTTTATACAGCCCAGGGATGCATGTCTGACGGACTGTAAATATCATCACACCATTTCTGCTAAATCCTTGGTGAAAGGGACCAATATTTCAAAGAAGAGAACCATCAGAACAGGAGGATGATCATCCTGGGAAGGCATTACCTAATTTGTCACTATCCATTCCACTTTGGAAACGTGAAGCTGTACAGTTGAGAAAGTTAACATCGTGAGACCAAAAAGCAAAAACAATGTAAAATTTTTGGTTGTTGAACTGGAGCAGTTTCCAGTTTCCTGAACACACAGAGTACAGTCACGTTGCCTCCAACTGCAAAGTGATTTCCCTAGAACCGCAGTGGGTTTGGATATACTATATCCTTGGCTACTAGCAGCATGGTAAATATACCTTGAATTAAGCATGTTAATATTAACTGCAATGTCAGTAAGTCAGCAGTTGCATAGTGACACTGTGGGAGGAACACAGGCCTCAGCAAACCTGTGGGTACAAAGAAATTAAGAGCCCAGAAGTATCCAGCAAGACCTACATCTGGAAAATTCCTAAAACTTTCTCCAAAAATACGTAACAAAAGTATATACAAAGATTTCAAAGAGCCTTCTGAGACAGACAGAAGCTGGAACCCTACTTCTGCTCGCTGTCTTCAGATGTCAGCAAAATTGGAGTGAAAGCTGATGGCTCAGTGCCTTTCTAGATCCTTGGGTAAGTGTTACACGCACAAACAAGAATCAAAACCACAAACCCTGCTCCCCTTATAGTTCTAACCCCATGATCAAACAGCACATACGATATTTAAAGTGGGGAACTGCACACACAGACTGTAAGAATTAGAGTACCACAAAGTTTTTTCTACAATGGGAAAGGATTGGGCCTTATTTTTCTTAAAATCTAACCAATTCAGAACAGAAAAAGCATTTCATTCAGAAGCATTACTACCATTTGCAAAAGAAATTGAGCATTTAAGGTAAGGAATCACAAGCATCTGCTAGGAGATAAAAATTAGTAAAGCATCTTAACATGACAAAGCAGGCAATTTAGATGCTAAAAGTAAACTTCCTTTTGCATTGTGGATACTATTGGCTATAATTCACAGCTAAGAACAAAGCTGGAGGAAAAAAAAAACAACTTTGCAGGCTTGGAAGATAACAGGTTTGTTCAATTCCTAAAGAACACACTGTGAAGCAATTTTTACCTACTGCAAATCCTAGCAGCAAATATTTTTTGTGCAAGTATCAAGATTTTTAAAATCTAAAGTGTTACTGGGGTTAAACAGTGGCAATGGCTTAAAGACTTCTGCTTTGTTTGATTCAACAATTCTTGATTTCTCATTTTTTCTTGACAGAAAAACAAAATCTGCCCAAACCAAATTATACTTGCTAAATCAGCCAACAGAAATGTGGCAACTTTTTTCTAGCTTCTAAGCCACTTTCATGTTAGCACTGCTTCTGCCCCTGACAGAAAAAAGCAGCAGTATAGCAAGTTCAACAAATTTGGAGAGAGATTATGAGGTAGAGACAGGCAGAAAAAGAGGGAAAAAAAAGGTAAAGTTAAAGCACATTGAAAAGAGAGATGAAATTGTGCCAAAACTGGAATGAAAGCTTTCCCCCTGCCAAAGTCTTAGAACCTAGATGCTTTCCAGAAGTCATGTAGTACACAGAAGGCCAGCACTTGCAACACTAGTTTTCTTTTAATCAAATGCTAACGTATTTGAATTAACAGATATTAATAGTGATAAATTAATAAAAGTTATTAAAATAAACAAACTGTAGCTGAAACAATAAACTTTGGTAAGAGGTGGGCAATGTCATTTTCTCTGGCAAATAAAGTCCAATTTCTGGGCAATGAAAAATCTTGCCCGTAGGAAATGACCCCTCTATGTTGCGCCGCTGAACAAAAGTTGTAACAATTTGCATCAAGTCTCAGTTCTATCCTGGGGAAAATCATGACCAACTCCCACAAAGTACGCTCTCATAAGATTGCTGAAGTGTCCTACCCAGCCCACTTTGGTGCAGCAAAGAAATAGTTTCAAAAAGGCGTTATTCGCATCTTGATGTGATCTTTTTCACATCAGTACAAGCACACAGTAAAAGAAGGCTCACAATCTGTTTACGCTCAAGCATGGAAGCGGAACCTAAACATTTCAGAGCAACTTGGAATGAGATCCTTGGCACTGAAGAATCTGCAAACCCACTGCTTTCACAGCATACCACCAGGATACAGAAGAGAGGCCAGAAGGGATGCTTCACATTTGCTAGAAACCTGAAGCGTGAGAGGATTCTTAGCAGACAGCCTACTCCATGCAGTTATTTTCTACAAACTCAAAGAGCAATGAATTTAAATAAACTTAAAGGAAAGTAACTCCCAGAAAGAAATAACATGTGAGTAATTCTAGTGATGCTAACAGACAATAAAGAGGAACAGGTTTGCCTTCTTGCACACTGTGATTGTTTCACGTGCAGCAAAATCAAGAACTCACCTCATCATACTGTGACTAAAAGAAGCCATTAATTTAAAAAACAAACAAACAAAAAAATCCCACCACCAAACCGAGAACTTCTTTTCTTGTGAAGTACGTGAAAGTGAAGATCTCTAACTTCCATTTCAAAAATATATTACTTTTAAAGGATACGGTCTGTACCGGGGAACAACGTTCTTCCAGTCAACAGTTCAGCCATAATGCACCCCACTGACCAAATATCAACTAAACAAAATAAAAAACAAAGCAACGTCATGCAGAAAAATAAAGTCTCAATAGAATCACCCTATCAAACAAGTACAAACAACTTTATCCTTAAATAGTCTTGCAGCATTGAAACAATCTGGGATACATTGCAAGCAGTAACTACGTTGTCCAAGACTTGTCCAAAATACAGAATACTAGATCAGGCAAGTTTTCCTTCCGGAGCATAGCATGCATAATCCACACAATCAAAGAGGCAGAAACCTGTTCAAGACCACTCTGAGGAATGAATTTGCACATGGCCTTACATAAATTCTACCAAAACAACCACGAACTATTATACTACAGATAGAAGTCCATATACATGCAAGAGGAAAAGAGAAAAGAAGAAAAAGTAACGAAGTATGAAATCACAGCAGCACATTATTTTCTTTGATCCATATGCTCTCCTGTACAAGAACTATTCTTAGCACTTGCTTTTCTTCTCTGTGCCTGATCTGAAATGTTGTAGGGAAGCACAGCGTGCTGCTGAGAAGATACTGAAAACTGTGAGGAAGATACAACTGTGAAGAAGTGGCTAAGAAGAGAGAAAAGGAAGGGAGATTTATATACTTTTTAGCACTTCTTCACACCGTAACTCCAGACATTTTTCAGTGTATTCCCAACAGCTTCCTAGAAACACACCTTCTCCTCACCCACTCCATTCACTTAATTTGAAAACCACTGTGCTAGGAAAAATAAGGGGTAAGTGCTGACAATATTTTGCTGACTGTAATTTCAAAGGTTCAAGTTTAAAGGAGTCTTGTGAATGCTATCACAATGATTCTTAATTTACATCTGACAGACTGTGGTTCAAATACTAATTCTATGCCTTCCTCCTTTTAATCACTCATAATTTGCATGACTGCCAACTTACGCGATCAAATAGAAAGTAGCATTTAGAGGACAACCTCTTTTTTTTATTTTTTTTTTCTCCCCAAAAGTCAAGAACTGAAAAGCCTTGTGCTAGCTAAATGCGTTACCTGTCTGGTTGTAATGCATCCAGTTCAGCATGATCTCAGGAGCCCTGTACCACCGGGTAGCCACATACCCGGTCATCTCATCATCCGTGTGTCGGGCCAAGCCAAAATCCAGGATCTACAACAGAAAAGACATCCACTAACTACTGCAGTGGAACAATGCAAACTAGTTAGAGCAAATAACTAGGCAGTTATTGGATTGGGTGGAGGAGACGTGGTGCAACTGCAAAAGCAGATTATGAAACTGAATTTCACAACCTGTTAAAAGACACTAGCCTAGAACAGCGTAGGACTTGACAACCAGAATTATGTCTGGCTATCTTCTCTCTAGAACAACTAAACCCAATCTAAAGCTGTTAACTCTTCACTTTCATGATGATTCATTAAAAACACATGAACAGATAGAGAAAAAACATCCTTACAGCCAATTACAGCTGGGAAGGACATAATGAGTTTGGGCCACAAAAGTATTTCCATCAGGAATTATTTTGTCCCTTTAATTCCAAGGGACATCCACAAAGTATTCACTCAAATCACAGGCAAACCAACCGGACCTTGTGATTCCCTTACCTTTAGCTCACAGTCTTCATTTACAGCTAGGTTGCTAGGTTTTAAATCCTAAAGAATTAAACAACATCAGCATTAACAACAGTATACATGTTGTTTCACAAATTTAGCTAGATAAAAATGTAAATGCAGATAGAAAATAGATTCTAACTGGCTGTAAATATCAACTCTCCATACTCGGGAAAATTATTTCATCCCAGAGCCAGCTGTCTCTTCTGTGGTCCTCCGAGGTGTCACATATAAGCAAAAATGCATAAAGGCTTATTGCAACACCAGTGCCGTAAATGTGTATTTAACAAATAGAGAACCCATTTCACAAAGATACACATCAAACATAGGCAGGAACAGAAACTATGGATCTTGACGACCACTTCCCATGTTTCACCTTTTGACTGTTAAACCAAAATAATTCTCAGAAAAATTTCCTCGTTTCTACACTGTAAGATTCTGTGCTACATTTTTTAAAGACATTGGTTCAGTACAGGAAGCAATCTTACAATAAATACTCACCCTGTGTATTATGTCAGCTGAATGGATGTACTGTAAGGCAAGATGACAAATTTTATAACAGTCCAAGCAGCCTCCTCATTTCTTCACTAGACAATCCTGCCCTACCCCATCCCACACAATCCAAGTGCTATAGCTTGTCTGCAGAAGGAACCCAGTGTGTGTCACTGGGTTCAAGTAGGTGTTTCACTTTGCCTCTCCTTCGGAACACCCAGGAGCACTGCCACCACGAGTGGAACACCACAAGTAAACAAAACCGAAGAAATGGAAGATCCACAGTCAGAGCAGATCAGAGGGCAGCATACTTCATCTTTTTTCAGACTCTGCCCATAGGAACATATAGAAATTTCTTCTTAAATAATACATAGCTTTACTGATACAGATCTCCAGAGAGGTACGAAGGGAAGGAACAATAATAATAAGTTACCCTACGATATGTTGGGAAAGTTACAGAAGCCCCACTATGTGCTTATAGGAATCTCTGAGGATATGACATGGTTTATTTGTGGACGGGTATGGTTGGACTCGATCTTAAAGGTCTTTTCCAACCAAACAATTCTATGATTCTATAACATTCAAGAACTTCCACCTCCCCGCTGATGAGCTATCAACATTCAGGTAGAACAGGGACAAGTACCTTCAGTCCCCGAAGAATCTGGTATATGAGGAACTGCACATGGTCATCGGTGAGTTTCTGGCATTTCACAATGTTGTTCAGATCTGCTCCCATAAGGTGTGTCACCAAGTACCTACGAACAAAAGGGAACACGTAGACTATGAAGCAATCCCTTCCACAGGATTAGGATAAAAATTCCCCATGAAGTGCCAGTAGCAGGGCTGACTGTCCCAAAGCACATTGCTGAATGAAATATCGTTCACAACACTTTACATAACGTAGCAGGTTAGCATGCCAATTCCTACAGCACTGGTCAATAAACCACCAGTGAACAAGTTTGAAGAGTCCAGTAGTTTAGGATGCCCTGGTATCTTTTGTGTTGGAATTCAGAATTGTTTGAGAATGATGGCAGACAAATTAAGGCAGCAAATATTTATATAAAAATCTGGGAGATGTAAGGAAGATACAGAAGATTTTTGTTGCAGTCTTCAGAGAAGTTACCTACACATCATTGAATTCTTCTAGTGACTTGGCAGGGGTGAACACATCCAACAAACCGATCACCTAGAAAGAAAACAGTACCATGAAAACATGGTGAAATCCATTCATAGTATAATATGATACAGTTAGTAAGATCCTGTGTGGGATAGAAACTACGCAGTCCAATAGATGTTTCATTTCCAACTACATGAATCATTCAGATGTAGACATTAATATTCATACAAGATCAGAAACAAACATTCAATTCTTGCATAAAAATATTATTAAGATTAAAAATATACAGCTGTCTTTTCACACCAGCCATCCACTTAAAGCATCAAACGGGAGCCATAGCAAAAAGGCAGGTGTAAACACTGGTTTGAAATACCTAATTTCAAAAACCAATTAAAGTTTGTTCAGGAAATAAATGGATGAGCAAACCAAAAAAACGCAACCACCAGACAAAACTGTTTGCTTCCTCCTCAATTCTTAGTTATACTGCTGACTACATACTATAATAAGAATTGGGAGACTGTACTTGTTTCACTTGTACTGAGTAATGGCTAGAGAAATTCAAGGATCAGTAACGTAGCAATGAATAATAATGACTACAGTAGAAAATAAATCAGGAAAACAGTGCAATGTCATGAGGACCCAATTTTCACAAACAGCTTCACACTGTCATTTATATTTTCTGCCCAAAGAGCAGCTACTCCACCTTTCACTTTACAGCTGAGCTGTTCTAGCAGTAGAGAGTAGAAGTAGATGCATGTATGTATTGGGTTTGCATGGCAAGGTTTTGGTAGCCGCGGGGGTACAGGGGGGGCTTCTGTGAGAAGATGGACCTGCTGCTGGCCAAGGCTGAGTCCATCGGTGATGGTGGTAGCACCTCTGGAACAACATATTTAAGAAGGGAAAAAAAAACAAACCCAAACACCTGTGCACCTGCAGTCAGAGAGAGGAGTGGGAATATGCGAGAGGAGCAGCCCTGCAGAAGCCAAGGTCAAGGGGAGAAGGTGCTGCAGGTGCCGGAGCAGAGATTCCCCTGCAGCCCCTGGGATACAGAAGATTTTTGTTGCAGTCTTCAGAGAAGTTACCTACACATCATTGAATTCTTCTAGTGACTTGGCAGGGGTGAACACATCCAACAAACCGATCACCTAGAAAGAAAACAGTACCATGAAAACATGGTGAAATCCATTCATAGTATAATATGATACAGTTAGTAAGATCCTGTGTGGGATAGAAACTACGCAGTCCAATAGATGTTTCATTTCCAACTACATGAATCATTCAGATGTAGACATTAATATTCATACAAGATCAGAAACAAACATTCAATTTTTGCATAAAAATATTATTAAGATTAAAAATATACAGCTGTCTTTTCACACCAGCCATCCACTTAAAGCATCAAACGGGAGCCATAGCAAAAAGGCAGGTGTAAACACTGGTTTGAAATACCTAATTTCAAAAACCAATTAAAGTTTGTTCAGGAAATAAATGGATGAGCAAACCAAAAAAACGCAACCACCAGACAAAACTGTTTGCTTCCTCCTCAATTCTTAGTTATACTGCTGACTACATACTATAATAAGAATTGGGAGACTGTACTTGTTTCACTTGTACTGAGTAATGGCTAGAGAAATTCAAGGATCAGTAACGTAGCAATGAATAATAATGACTACAGTAGAAAATAAATCAGGAAAACAGTGCAATGTCATGAGGACCCAATTTTCACAAACAGCTTCACACTGTCATTTATATTTTCTGCCCAAAGAGCAGCTACTCCACCTTTCACTTTACAGCTGAGCTGTTCTAGCAGTAGAGAGTAGAAGTAGATGCATGTATGTATTGGGTTTGCATGGCAAGGTTTTGGTAGCCGCGGGGGTACAGGGGGGGCTTCTGTGAGAAGATGGACCTGCTGCTGGCCAAGGCTGAGTCCATCGGTGATGGTGGTAGCACCTCTGGAACAACATATTTAAGAAGGGAAAAAAAAACAAACCCAAACACCTGTGCACCTGCAGTCAGAGAGAGGAGTGGGAATATGCGAGAGGAGCAGCCCTGCAGAAGCCAAGGTCAAGGGGAGAAGGTGCTGCAGGTGCCGGAGCAGAGATTCCCCTGCAGCCCCTGGTGCAGCCCTTGGTGGGGCAGGCTGTCCCCCTGCAGCCCATGGGGGCCTACAGGGGAGCAGATCTCCACCTGCAGCCCAGGGAGGACCCCACACCAGAGCAGGGGATGCCCGGGGAAGCCTGCACTGGAGCAGGCTCCTGGCAGGGCCTGTGGCTCCGTGGGGAGAGTAGCCCAGGCTGGAGCAGGTTTGCTGGCAGGGCTGGTGACCCCACAGGGACCCACGCTGGAGCCATTTGTGAAGAACTGCAGCCCATGGGAAGGACCCACACTGGAGCAGTTCATGGAGGACTGTCTGCCGTGGGAGGCACCCCACGCTGGAGCAAGGGAAGAGTGTGAGGAGCCCTCCCCTGAGAAGGAAGGAGCAGCACAGACATCATGTCATGAACCAACTGCAACCCCCATTCGCCGTCCCCCCTGTGTCACTCAGGGGGAGGAGAAAGAGAAAACCGGGAGTAAAGTTAAGCCTGGGAAGAAAGGGGTGGGGGGAAGGTGTTTTAGGATTCGGTTTTTACTTCTCATTATCCTAAACTGATTTGATTGGTAATAAACTGATTTCCCCAAGTCGAGTCTGTTTTGCCCATGACGGTAACTGGTGTGTGATCTCTTCCTGTCCTTATCTCAACCCACAAGCTTTTCATTATATTTTCTCTACCCTGTCCAGCTGAGGAGGGCAGCGATAGAGTGGCTTTGGGGGGCACCTGGTATCCAGCCAGGGTCAACCCACCACAATGTGTTACCTTGTGAAAAAGAGTAACTATACCTTATTATCCCATAATAATCTTGTAGGTTATTTGCAGCATTTAAAAAAAAAAAAAATCCATCTGGTGGATAAAGATCATTCTAATTTTCACTGGAAAGTGCTTTTAAACCTTATTTTCTTTCTCTTAATAGCAAATAATACATTATCAATATAAAGGGACGGGTTCTCTTCATCCACCTCCAAAAAACACCTCTTCCTTTTTTAAGTCAGCATCTCACTTGTCTTGGATACACAAGCATCACGCACATTTCAGCAACTTCAGTAACGGTTCAAGCATGCATATGAAACCAAGAGTTGGATTCCTGCGTTCCCCTTCGCACCATCCTTTTTATCCTGTTTTTTACACTTGTCAAGGATGTCAGAATCAATTGAGTGATCTCTAAGAAGGAAATTGAAGACAAAATCTTTGAAGAACCTAGACTATGTTTTTAGAAAAGATAGCAAATGGGTAGGAAATAAAAGCCTCTGTCTAATCCATATTACACATTATAGATTGCATTTAACTGAGGAAACTGAAGACAGGACACTTTCCTGTCTCTCAATATACATCGCAGCAACTCCATTTCTAGACAGACATCTTCAAACTCTAACATTCACATCCATCCTGTATAATGATTTTCATGCTTACAGTTTCTTTCTCCAGTGGATTCTTCCATATCAGTTTTTACAAGGGGTGGAGAAATCAACATTATCCATGCAGTTCAGCATGGAAAGACAAAAACTGACTACTATCTAGACTTCAGGTTTTTTCATTCATCGTTTTTATTTGCTACACTATAAAGCACAGTATCAAACTATCCGTATCTTTCATAGTTTTACAGACATTATACAGTTTTTCTGCAGTGCATCTCTGGCTCACTTCTAAGGAAGTGCGAACACCAGGAGATTCAGAACCCAACCCCTAACCTTTTGCTTTCCCCTCCCAGCATTTTAGCATGTCACAGAGCTTATTAATTTCTCCGTATGACAACAAACCCATTTGCTCTCCCATCTGCTCTGTGTTGTGCTTTATGCGAGCTAACAAGGCCTCCTGGAACTTGAAAATATAACACAGACACACATGAGTGCTCTGCAGGTCCATTTATTTGCTCAAGATCATCACGACCAGACTAGCTACAGGATACAGAAAAGTATCCCCCACTCAAGCCCCTTAAACCACCATACCAGCCAGATTTGCTGGTGTATCCGTGCCACGTAAAACCAAGCCTTTTACTTCTGAACTGAGATCTGAATAGTCAACACACTGGCAGAACTAAGCCTGCCTGAACTGGCTCTGAACACCTCTGCAACTGCAGGATTTTTAAACCACAACCTAGATAAACTTCCCACAGATAGATGCTGGTACGATGAACTGATAATAAAATATCTCTATATATAAACAACTTAACTTCCTTTTATCCCTTATTCTCAACTCTACATAGGCTCTTTGCAATACTAATCCAAAAAATACTAACAAGTGCCAGACAGAACTCTCGTAGCACCAGTCACAATCTAATTCTCATTGCTTAACCTTATTAGCTTAGACAAAATGGATTAATATGCTATTTTTTTTTTTTTTGGTAACAGATATTCAAAGCTTTTCTGTTTGGAGAATATCTCGGCTATGAGAAAAGATCCAGAAAAAACTCCAGGGGACAGACATTAAGCAGGGTCAAATGCTACCTCTACTGTTGAGGCAATGGTATTGTACAGAGGCACTGAGGAAGTTCTGTTGACAATAGTACATATATGCATCAGAAGTTGCAATTACGTTAGCCACACTAAAACTCCAAGGAGACTTACGGGATACCAGCTGCTGACTGCAGTGGTTACAAGCTACAACACACAACCACCACTGCCACAACAGAAGTCCTGAACAGACCTTCCAAGGAGAACCTTCCAATGAAATTAGGTTTCGTTGGCTTTTGTGCTAGATAAAAGTTCTAGGTTTGCTCAGCCCACTTCCAAAACAGTATTTCCGACTAAGCTGGAGTTTGCTTGGACAAAAAAAACAAAACAAAACAAAACAAAACCAACCCAAACCCCCCCCCCCCCCCAAACCAAAACCCAAAAAACAAACCAAACAAACTCAAACCCAAGAGCCTTCCTTTCCTCTTGACATTCTGACAGCTCTAGAGAGGGTAGGTTGTAAGTCTTTTTGTTCCACTGCATGTAGTATTTGCTCCAAACAGCATGCAATATAAATACGTTGGTGTGTTAACGCCACAAACTCACAGACCTGTTCAGCTAACGGCTTTCTATACCAAATGGAGGTTATATCGAAAAATGGTTAGACAGTAGATCGCATAGTTCAGCATAACATTTGCCCCATCCTACTTTGTTTCCCTGCTGATGATTTAAGTGGATGGCTTGTATGAAAAGCCATCTGATTCCCATACACACACTCCCCTCCTTTCTTCCTATTTTACCTACAGGAATCTAGTGAACATCTACTCCACACCCTTCCGACACAGGCAAGCCAAAACAAATATGAAAAACACTCCAGAAGACACTAAAAACAAACTTTGATTTTTTTTTTTTTTAAATAAATTCTTAACGTAATGAAAATTACAGCTTACTCCAGTAAGCAAGCAGGAAAATGTCTCTGTCCTAAATCCTTAGGACAGCACAAACCTTCTCAGCAGTAATTTCCAGATTATTCTAGGAAATATGAAGGCTTTTTAATACAAAATTGGTTATGTGGTTTTGTGGTGGTTTTTTTAATCTGCATGGTTTTCTACAACCATAATCCCTTGGACTACTGTAAGCTTTGTATTTGTATTAGGAAAACGGAAGCATCAAGATCCTCAAATGCAATCGTGCTGGATGGTCACTGGATAGTCCAACTTTAGACCAACTTTTCATACCATCTCCTGCCACTTACATTTTCGTGTTTCATGTGCTTAAGTAGCCGTAGCTCTCGGTAGGTCCTCTTGGCATGGATGATGGACTGAAATGGTCGGGACAGCTTCTTTACAGCCACACGCAACCCAGTTTTTGTGTCAAAGGCAGAACTACAAGGAAGAATAATCAAATTATCAAAATTAATTACTTATAAACACCTTCAAATCCACACTTTGCAACTCCAGATAACAACTATCTGGACACTGAGCCACAGTCAACCCCATTTTTCCATTTTGGCAATGAAAATAATTTTTAGGCATCCTGGTCCACAACCTGCACCCCCACCCAAAATCCCCACATATTTACACGACTGTTGGTTTCTACAGAAAATGTTTACAAGATGAGTCTTGCTCACACGGTGAAGAGAAGTTTTGTAAGGAAAAAAAAATGGTTATGATTTCTCTGTCTCAAAGCAGTTTTAAACATAAACATGGCAATAAAACTCTGGAGAGAGGAATAATACTTCTAAGTATTATCTGCATTCCTGAACACATTTTCATATACCACACTTCATCACAAAATGCTATGCTCAAAACACCTTCTTTTATGGTTTAAGTCCATACAAAAAACCAAGGCCTGGGCCTAATAAAAACAACTGTGATGGCTGTTAATCACATCTGCATGCGAATAAATGATAGTTAGCTGTACATTACTAAAACTCGTCCCCTTACCAGAAACTCACACATAAAACCTGTACATATAAATAATGTTTCTTCTTAGAATCCATGAAAAATAACTCCATCCTATTTGGTAACTTCATGTATATATAGTTGATATTTTGTACCGCAAAATCATCTTTTGAAATAAGTCCTATTACAACCTATTTATTTATAACATTAAGAAGCAAAAGCCTGATACTTTTGAAACAACCAAAAATTTAACACATGAAGAACTATGACACCCTGCATAAAATCTTCCAGAGCTTAGGGCTTACATGTGAGGAACTAAAGAAACGGAGGTATTTAGCTGTGAACTAAATTACTCCTCTTTCTTCTCTTCTCTGATGTTCTTATCTAAAACAGCTCTGGTTTGTCAAAAAGGAAGGAGAAAGAGAAACAGAGGATGTGAATTCAAGGTTACACTTGATTCAAGAAAACAAAGACAGGGAAAATACGTATGGAGAAAGTCAGAGAAGGACAGTATTTGTCTGCTTTCCTGCTGCATTTTGACTCAGGGAAAACTGATTCCATTGAAAAGTGAGTATGCACTAGCTCTCTATAAACATAGAGTGAAAAGCAAAGCTATACGCTTATAAATGTAAAGTGTGAAGCAGCTTAACTAACAGAAAGTTAAAACCAATCTCAAAAGTAGTCCTAGAACAAAACCACAACTGTATATATATACAACCCTCACCTCCCACCCCCGCCAAAGAAGCTATCTGAAAGAACTGTAGTTGTCATTTATTTTTAAAGCAACTAACTGGAATTAACTTGCAAAAAGATTCCTTATCTCAAAGTTGCTCAGTTTCCAAGGAACTTGCTGTATGAGGTTTATGAGAAATAGAAAACAAAATACAAGCTTGTTTCTACGAACAGCGATCCTTCCCCTGGGTCCTGCAAGAGAATGGAAAAACCCACTGTGCACGACAGAAGAGTCGTCTTCTCCTTCCCTATAAAGAGGCACCTGCACACATGCAGGGGAAAGAGCTCTCTGGAAAAGATGTGAAGAGACAGCCAGACAGAAGATCACAGGAGCACCAAATTGTCAAGAGTTGGAGTTCTCGAACTACACCATACTGTCTCAAAGAATGCTCACTTCCACACGAGTTATCCTCTACACCTGACTCAATCTAGGCAGACAAAAGATGACATTAAGCATTCGTTTTTTAATCTTGATTTCAAATGATCTCCAGCAAGTCTTCACGCACCACTAGAATATCGATATTTAAGCAGCAACACTTCAGGAAACATTGAATTCCATTTTTTTTAAGCTTCACGTACACCATTTTGCAATATACAAACATACCCAATTCAGGCTGTAATTATATGACAATATTTTAATAATACTCAAGGTGTTTTCTAGGACTTAGAGCAAAAAAAAAAACCATTAGTCATCATAATTCAACACATGCTCTTGCGAATTAGTCATGAATCTTTACCAGCTTTCAAACATTTTGGGTACAAAAGGCAGCATATACCAGTACCTCTTTCATCTTGAGAAGAAGGGGATCCCCTGCATATTAACCACCTTCACAGCTACACAGTCAGATTTCTCTCTTGGTTTCCACAAGATTCTCTTTAGAGATTTCAGAGCCACCAGATAGAAAAAGCTATTTCAGAGTCCAAAGAAATTCAAATTTCACCTTTTTAATGACATTTTTGGGGTCATCAAGTCATCGTTCCACTGTAAGTAGTTGTACAACCTCCAAGGAGAATTGCAGTCAGCAGAACTGCGAAACTGTTTAACCAGCACAATGTCATTGTGTGCAAGCCCAGGAAAGAAAATTTTGTATTACTGCGTATTCACAATCTAGAGTTACTCTTGAAGTCAGAAGAACTCTAAGTTCAGTCACATTTGAGGCCTAAAGACTATTTCCCTACAGATAAAGGCAAGCTGAGTAATTTTCTGCCAATACAGATAACTGCCTAATGGTTTTCACGAGTACAGAACACAGAGCTGCACAACAGCTGTCATGTTGGAGAATGTTTTAAAGAACACTAAGCTGGCTTTCATCACAGACTTAAAACAGCTGCATTACATCGATCGTATTTCAGCTAAAAAAGACCAATTGGGAAAAAATTGCATGATCCACAGTTTTAAATCCCTTTTAAAAACAAGTTCAGCAAAAATTCAGAATTTACTGCAGCTTCCACGTTAACCTCTTACGTAGTATTGCACTATGGCACATGAATTGCATCCATCTCACCCTAAGCGAGGTACAACTACAATTCTGCTCTAACCTGAACTGAATCCAGAACATAAGAGCTAGAATAAAACAATTATTTTAGAGAATCTATCCACTGATTCAACTTTTATCTTCTTAGAAGTAACATTTGAAGTAGTCTGAGGAACTGAAGTACACACAAAATTACTTAAGGGTGCAATTTATTTAAACATTAGGTCATCAGAATGTTAATTTTTGTGCAGACCATTTCGCTAAATAGTATGCTGCTCATGGCTAGCACCTATGCAAACACCCAAGCTAACTGAATCTCTTCAGTGGTACCTTTGGAGTTAATTTATGCACCCCTAGTTATAGACAGAAAAAACACTGTTCTTGGTACCTGACAGATTTACACCAGTCTATACCCACATTTCAACTGGTTACCCTCCTAGCGCCCCATAAAAAGTTGTAAATCTTATTCTCCTCTGCTACGTTGGCTTCTGCTTCCAAGAAAGCTGCAATAAAAATCTCCCTATAGACAGATGTTCTCACACTAATTGAATTTCTTAATATAAAAAATTTCCACGAAGTTCAAGCCACTTGCCTTCGCTTTCAGAGCTCTGCTCACAGCTTTTCTGTGCCTGCCCATCTCCTGCTCGATCCTCCTTCCTCACATGTGTTCTGCTAATCCTACCTGTACGGCTGCTTCAGCCCACTCACAGGTTTACAGTTCTTGTCATATCACTCCTCACCTATCTGCCACACCTTACGGGAGAAGCAGGCACCTGTCCCTCCAAGTGCATACATACTTTGGAGGCACTTGCACACTTTGGTAAGGGATTAGTAAGCCTAAGGACGCGCAGTGGTAAAAAAAAAAAATAAATAAATCCAGAGGAACTGTTACTACAAAAGTGATGTTCAGGGTTGTTACTTAACTTCCTCTGGAGCCTAATATTTTAAAATTTCTTAAATCCATAGTATTTCTGTGTTAGTTTAAAAAGAGGGGAATTATCTCAGTATCTTCATAATACCAAGGAAATTCAGAGTCAGAGTGTTGGTACAGAAATTGGTTGGTATTCAGAAATTCAGAGTGTTTGTACAACTGTGGGGCAACATGGGAAGAAATCACAGGTTTTGGAAGGACTGTATGACCTGACAGTCTACAAACAAAAAAAGCTAAAAGATTCTTATGTGAGATTCTGATGAAGAGTAAGTCTTGGCTGTTCAATTCCTTTCTAAATTAAATAAGGCAATACAGATAGCCTGCAAAACAATTAAACTAAAACCCTTATTTTACAAAGGTATCAGCACAACACACAAAGAGCTGCTGCAAAAAATACAATAATGAAGTAAACTCTTAAGACTATACTGAGTCTGCCTTCACAGCATTTTAGAAACCCATGGCAAAGATCATCAAAACACCTCTTTGCTTAGTATAGAGCCGGCTGAACGAATGCCTTTTGCTGGGACCTCCCTCCAGCACATGTAAGAAACGAAGCGATCCTCCAGCCAAACTGTGAGTCACCGATCAATCCCATCTCCATTCAGCAACTTCCCACTGCAGGATGCTGCATTGTCTAGGCCCCTCTCCTCCTTCCATGAAGTATTACAAGACAGATACTTCAGGAATCCACATGTGGCTTAGTCTAGACCTGGTTACAAAATCCTTTTCATGCAAAAGACTATGTTGTGTGACTATACAAAACTGTTGCAAGAATAACTGAGATAGCAATTCACACAACAGATGTCACAGCAATTGTTGCATGACTTAGTAACGAACAATTCCAGGCTACGTATCGATGTTTCTCGAAGTTTTGGAACTGAACCCCTACTTGCATCTCCACATACTTTCAGTTTTTAAAAATGGATCCTGAAAAACACCTGAGTTGGCTGTTTGAACGTCTTCCTTCCGAGACTGCACACAATACTTCCAGAACACTGGAATATTTGGTCTAAGTTTAAGCGCATACCTTGGGTGCCTTAAGCTGCCTGCAGAAAATGCCTCTCTCTCTCCATCCACTGACTACAAAATAAAGTCACGTTCTTATATTAGGCTGTTCCGAGTCATGCTCACATTAGACGTTTAAAGCAGCCTGCCACAGACAGCTCCACAGTCCAAATGATTCATCTGCTGGCTTAATTCTTTCTTTTTTTATGAATTTTCCCCCCCCCTTTCTAGAAATTCCTCATTTTTAAATACCTCATCTTGACAACTAAATAAACAACAGAGCATTTTATTACATTCTAACATAACAATGCAGTAGACATACATGGAAATATACTTAACCATTCGGTTTAGGGGTGGTTAAATATAACAATGCAGTAGACATACATGGAAATATATATACTTAACCATTCGGTTTAGGGGTGGTTAAAACCCCACAATTTACTATCCCAGCACAGAGGTGCACCAAACTCAAAGCCTCAGATGAAACCAGGTAACTTTTTACTGGGGAGAAAAATCTCTAAAGGGACAGAGAACAGAACAAGTCATTGCAGGAATATCCTAAATGCTATGCATCACCGTTTGCAGCTTAATAAAATTACATATACATACAAGGGGGGTTGTTTGTTGGTTTTGTTTTTTTAATTCTGACATACTTTCCATATCACTAGTCTTTCTGAACTATATCTTGTCTGAAATATATTTTTAGAACAACATATGGAAAACCATTAACATGGGCTGCAAAAAGACTCATGTGCCACATGTCTGAAATTGCTTCCAATACAAAATTGTTTCATCTGGGCTGAACACAGTTGCACAATCTTTGAAAGTTTTGACACAGCAGAACAGGAAATTCATGATGCAAACTCTATTTAGTTATTGGTTGTGAAAACAAACTTTGGAAGTATTACAGGCACAGTGGAGATTGCGGGGAGGGGGACAACAAGAGGAATGGGCTAGACTGTGCAGGGTCAACCTTAAAAATACAATGGACAAGGCACTGAGCAAATTAATTTCCTATTACATTCGGGGAGTTATGCAACTGTGGCACCTACGGGGTATTTACCAGCTATGGCTTTTCTTTCACCAGAACTAAACCCTTCTATTAAAAAAAAAAAACAACTCGGCAAGTACATTGGTTAATCTTGCTACTAGAATTAACCAGCCTTTGCCTTTTGTGAAATGTAAGTATTTGCATACTTGAGGCACAGGAGCTTTAAAAAATGCATGCTATTTAAGCTGAACTTACCAACAATTTTCTAACAGTAGGTTAAGAACAGCTGAGAACTTCTTTAAAACTGCAGCACATGCAAAACAACTCCTTTTGTTTACTCAGAGTGCAGTATGCATCCCTCCTTATGATACGACATGATAGTCATGATACAAATTTGCACATTATGTTAATGAAATATGCATGCCTCCTCAAACACAGCAGCAGAGCAGCTGTGTAATCATCATGCACCCACATTTGAAAATTCTGATCACACTTTGACAGAGCCAAAGAACATAGAATGAAAACCAGAATATTCGTGTGGAAGCCATTTCTTAATAAAAGGACACAGTAATCTGTGAACGCTTTTGTACAGCCCTGCTATATGACTGCTAAAGTCTGTCAACCTGATTCAAGTATGACCTTGTATTTAATATTAAACAATGTACGACAGCCCAATTAATTTATGTTTAATGATCCAACATGCTTCAGCAGAGAAACTACAAATTAAGGAAGTACTGTATTTCACATGTGTAACCTGTCATATGTTTTGCTCCTATGAGGCAAGCATTAAAAAACTAAACTCCTATTTTCAAGCTCTCTTATTTCTGCAGGTCTCATACCACAATTTAACTCTCCCGAGCAGCGCATACTGCAGTAACTCTGTCATTCTACAGCAATAAAACAAGTTTTCCTGTGCTCATCTACTATTGCCGAGGAAATATTGATACTTGTAAACCCACTGGTGCAAGGCAGAGACGCAAAAACAGCCCTTGCAGCCTTCCCTCTACCCTCCCTGCCTATCAACAGATGCCAGTTAAAAATATAATTGCCTCAAATATAAGCTATCCTACAGGTCCAGAAGGAAACTGGGACAAGAGCTGCCAGGCCCTCAGCTCTGCAAAGCCAGCTACGGGGGACTTGCCAGCCTCCATCCCTCTCCACCCCCCACCTACTAACTGCAAGAAGGCACAGTGGAATATGTCTATATGAGATCATTCGGGGGCGGGGGGGTTGGGACATGATTATCTTCCCCTGCAAAAATGTTTTAGTGCCACCTGCCATGTGGTGCAATCCCCGACGCATTCCAAAGACAAGACTGCGGCTTCACGGCACTACCGCTCTTAAATCAGGAGGCAAAGTGTTTCTTGCAGGAGACTGGTAAAAAGCTGGGGGAGAGGAACTCCCGGAGGACAAGCAAGCCCCGCTCTCCTCGCCTTGGGGGAGGTTTCCAGGCGGAGAGCCCGGGCAGGGGCCGAGGGGGTGGGCAGCAGCCTGGCACGACCCCCCCTGCACACACGCACACCCCGTCCCCTCCCAGCACTCACCAGACGGAGCCGTAGGCCCCGGAGCCGACCGGGGAGAGGTTCTG